GACTCGGAAAACCCGAAGACTCGAAACAGGTGAACTACTTGACTAATTCCAGTACAGAACCTATAGGATGTTGCGCATGCGCGACTTAACGAATCACTCCCCGAGACGACTCGTTCCTCCCGAGTCACATTAAAGATTCGTTCAAAATGAACGAATCGTTCAAGAACGACCCAACACTAGAATAAACAGAAGATTGGTGTCCAATGTTCTCTCAAATTTTTTTCTTGCTGAGCAAAAATATTCTCTATTGGGCGGATAGTTGCCACCTGAGCAAAAACATTCTTTATATCAGACCTGTACAGCGTGCACACACAAAAAAAAAATCTTTTAAATTTAATGTGCTATTTATATGTGATTTGACCCTTTATGTAACTAAATGATGCACATTTTAGGTTACCTGAGAAAACGGATTTTTACAGTGCTGTGTTACTGACCAAGAAATTCTATTAAAGGTGACATATAATGAAAATCTAACCTTTTCCGGTTTTAAGTGCTATAATCGGGTCCCCGGTGCATCTAAGAACCCAGGAAACGTGAAAAAGATTAACACAGTAACTTTGTTTTGGTAAGCCTTTTTCTGCAAGCGTCTGAAAAACGAGCGCGTCAGATTTCACTCCCTTTGTGACGTGGCAAAGGGATTTTATTATAGTATCACCGCCCCTTTATCTGCACGTTTCCACTCACGGCGCCGCCATTCTTGTTTTCGCAAGCGACAACGGTGTACCAGTTCTAGCTCCATGGCAAAAGTTCGAGCAAAACATGCTAACTGTTCTATCGTTAGCTGCACAGACGAGCACAGAACACTGTTTATATTCCCAGCCTCAGAGGAGACGAGAGCAGTGGATTTATTTATTTACTGTATATTACGCTGCTACCACACAGATCTAATATAAGCACGCGATTTCTTTCCCAGCTGTTTACCTTCACAGACATAACTGACTGTTTTTGTAACTCATGTGTTTTTAACAAACTTTTGTGTATTTGACAGTTTAAGCGCAATAAAACATGAAGAGAACTTACTTAGGGTTTAGTACTCACATGCTATGTGACAGCTGCTTTCTGTGCGTGTGCTTCAGATGTGCGCTCAGAAAACACTATATCAGAAGTTTAAACTAATGTGGTTTTAAAACGCATGATTTCAGCGCGATAGACATGATAATCAAAACCAAACAGATGCTTTTTTATCAGAGTATCTGACGTACGAGCTATAAAGGAACAGCCCTATTCTGGAAAAGGGGCAGGGAGCAGCAGCTCATTTGCATTTAAAGATTCATGCACGAAAACAGCGTGTTTCTGCTTCCTCTCAAAATAGGCATTTTCAAAATGATCCGTGGGGTATTTTGAGCTGAAACTTCACAGACACATTCTGGGGACACCTGAGACTTATATTATATATTGTAGAAAGGGGCATAATAGGTCACCTTTAAAAATTATTTAAAAAAATCTCACACAGAACAGTTCAATTCTTTATAATATAATTAATATGAAAAAAATGAAGCCGTTATTGCTCATGAATTCCCTTTTTGTGGTTAATTATTTATTAGGCTTATATAATATAATATATATAATATAATATAAATGTCACAGCTACGCTGCTAACAATAAACGCACAAAGACGAAGAAGATTTTATAAAGTCTTTAATCCAACACAGTGTGGTGGTGCCTGAGGAAAACAAAGTCCAAACTGAATGACATGTGACAATAATAAAATATAAAAAAGATTTCAATAAATATTAAAAAAAACAAAAAAAGTTTTTGCGTCTGTTCCGTGCACGGCATGTTATTTCTTCTGCGCGGTCACACACGCGTGCAGCTTGCGACCACCATGGTTGGATCATGCAGCCAGTCGTACTACTGACTATATTGTCATAACTCCCTATTATCAGACACTTTCAGCTGTGAATTAAATTAATCATTGGTGACAAATAACTGGGACACCTGGGAAAAAGGTATGTTTATAGTAGCTATGTTTCCATCCAAAGTTGCTAATTGAACTTGTGTGAATTTTTTTTTTAATTAGTAATAATAATAACAATAGAGATTGTTTCAATGCAGTATCAAATAGAAAAGTAACAGGATCAGTGATGCAAACTCTAAATATTCTGCGATAAAGCAGCTCTAGCAAGACAATAGTGTTGTTATTCAGCTCCAGTCAGTTCAGTTCAATGACTGTGAAGTTCATTCATTATGAAACAGTAATCATTATCACATAAAACATTTGCAAATGAAACCTTTTCCATGTGTTCAAGTGAACAAAATCGTCATAGTATCAATAAAATCATCAAAGTATCAAGCAAAGTATCAATAATGAAAATGAAAGTTGCTGCAACCAGGGAAGGACATAGTGGATTTTTTTCCTACATAATGACTTGTGCCTCAGGGCATCCAGATGAAATGCAAACACAAAAGCTGTCATGTTATCTTGTATTTGGATGCCTGACATTTGGAAAAGCAATCTCGTCAGACAGTTCTGGGAGGTAATTAAATCATTTTGATGACAGACTTTTGCTCAGGGATTTCAGATTGACTAAAACAACATTTGAGATGATGTTCAATGAGATGGTCTGCTGGTTAGTCCAGTTAGCCAGTCACACGGTAAAATAAGAGTTTTTTGTTGCACATTGAGGAATTTATTCAGTAAATGTGTTTCCGTCGTAGTTCATGCACGTTTTCTTATCTGATAAAAAATGATCAGACTCAATTGAGCACATTTTAAGATTTGATGTGCATATCAGATGTATTTAAAGACTTTGTTCTCTGTTTCCTATTTTAGGAGTATGAAACAGCACGTAAAGAGCTCGAGGGGGTGAAGAAGGAGAGAGAGGAAATGAAAAGGAAGCTGAAGTCTCTGAAAGAAGCTCAGGAGCCGCTGCTCAGGAAGATCCGCTCAGTGGAGAGTCAGCTGCAGCCCATCGAGCACCAGATGAAGGAGTTGGTCAGCACAAATCAAACCTGATTACCAAGAATTAGGGCTAGGTGATATAGCCAAAAAAATTATCCCGATATAATTTTTCATATCAGTCGATATCGATCATTACCTTTATTTCTTTCAAGTTTAAAGGCTGATTTTTGCTCCTGAGTGAAAGTTGTAGAAACCAGACGGTTAATTGTGGTTTTAAACTCTTTATGGTCAAAACATGACAAACACTTCAGCTTTTTGAATTCTTTACTCTTTTCCAGTCATTTTTCCTGAGCAAAATAAATATCTGAATACAAAAATTAATTTCTTAGTTTCTGCATGTTCTAATGAGCAGTATTGTTTCAGATCATGAAACAAGTTTGTGTTCCTGACATGTATCTTCAGCACAGATTGCAGTGCAGGCTGCAGTATTAATAATATTAAATTTTTTTGAGGTCTCTTGCACATTTGACAGTAGCTTGAGTTGACAGTAGTAGCTTGTAGGGGTGTGCCATAACATACCGTCCACGATAATAAATACATTTTTACATGATAAAAAAAGTGTCATATTGCGATATCAACGATATAGTGACGCGATGACGCATGGCGGATATACGTTCCCTAGCGCGCACAACAACACCACAAACCCAATAGGTGTGTTCGACTTGAAGCAGCGCTGCGCAGACTGATCGGTGTATGACATCAAAGTATCGCAAGAGCGGCTCTAGAGCATATTCGACCGCACACTCTTACCTTCAAAAATAGGCGAGGCGCATATCTTTAGCCAATTTAAACATTCAAAACAGTTTAAAGTATTCAAACACAAGCCGCGGAAAAACTCAGAGTTCACGCACCGAGTTCAGTGCACACACGGAGAGCCGCGCAAACACCAAACTGAGCTCTTCTTCGCTTCCTCCCATGCCTGAACAAACAAATACACCTAGCCAGTTTAAACATACAAGCACAAAAAGACATGAAAAGCTTAATTCAGAACCCGCGCGCTGTTCTGTGCATACAGTGTGCATGCAGAGAGCCGCGTCTACAGCCCTTAAAGGGGTCATATGATGCTGCTAAAAAGAACATTATTTTGTGTATTTGGTGTAATGAAATGTGTTTATGCGGTTTAAAGTTAAAAAAACACATTATTTTCCACATACTGTACATTATTGTTTCTCCTCTATGCCCCACCTTTTTGAAACGCGTCGATTTTTACAAAGCTCATCGGTCTGAAAAAGCGAGGTGTGCTGTGATTGGCCAGCTATCCAGTGCGTTGTGATTGGCCGAATACCTCAAGCGTGAGACGGAAATGTTGCGCCCCTTGCCATACTGTTGATGCCGTGTCCCGGCCGGAGCGACGAGACAAAAACATTAAAACCCATTACAAACGAGGCATTTGTTGCATCCAGTGGGGACATAATTACTGATTATAATGACTTATGCTGTCTTTTTACGTGTTGCGTTGCATCGCGCCACGTAAACAAAACCATGTCTGCATTTGTGATCGGAGTTGTAACACTCCAAAGAGAAAGGAAAAATTGAAATCGCCTCATATGACCCCTTTAAACACCGAATTGAGTTTAGTCTCTTCTTGCTCTTGAAACGACAAATACATACAAAATTGTCACAATACCTGTCTTTGCAACTATCCTCGAAAAAATGGTCGGTTGTGTCTTAAGTGAAAGTAAACAGTTGAGCAAGAAATGGAATGTGTATCATTATATTGGATATATATTGGATCTCTTAAAGTGACCGCGCCTAATTTACTAGCTGCTGTCAGTGTCCTTAATGTTAATCCAAGAAATTAAATAGGAGAAAATCACTCACTGCTCTTTACTGAATTACTTTGTAGTTTTAACAAGAATTAATCTATATTTAATTTATACAGTGAAGACTATGCAATGCTATTTACATTTGATTATTCAGTTTCTGTACCTGGACACCTACAGACTTGAAAAAAATTAAACATTGTTTAATTTGTATATTTGTTTATTTGTGCTATTTACACAATTTCAAACAACCTGCACCGGAGCCCCGCAAACCCTAGCTACGGCCCTATACACCGATCGGTCTGCTTCAAGTCGAACACACAGCTGCTGCTGCCACCTTATGACAATAGATTTACACTTCAAATTAGGTAGTCTGTCATTGATGACAGTAGCTCATTGGAAAAGGATGGAAAATGCCCTTCATTTTGTTTGCACTAATAAATGCTGCTGCCTGCCAGCTGCAATCACCTATAAAACGTTGTTCCATGTTTTTTTTTCTATATCGTCATCGCAAATATTCTTGAAATATCGTGATATAATTTTGAGGCTATATCGCCCAACCCTTTGTAGCTTGAGTTAGGATGCAGATGTAAATTTATGTTCATTATCAAAGACAGTAACATCTGTAAAAATTGTAACAACCTCATTTTTATATTCGGTTCGTTTGGTTCATTTGGTCCGGACCAAAAAAGTAAATGATACATTTGGTCCTGGTCCGCTGAGCGTTCACATTGGCATTTTTGACAGCGAACCTAAAGACAGCGAACCTAAAGGCATAGTGATACGTTCACAACCTGATTGGTCGGGTTGAATGACGTATATATTGTGACGGAACTGACCGAACACCCCAAACAAAAGGTGCGTTAGACTTAAAGCGGCGCTGCGGGTGGATGATATCAAAGCACCCATTCACCGATCGGTCTGCTCATCGCCGCTTTAAGTCAAATACACCTAATGCCGTCTGCTGGACTAAGCGTGCTCATTCTTGCGTGTACATATAATTATATTTTCACCACCTGCAAACTTACAAGGAGCTCATAAAAGGCACATTACCTCCTCGTTGCTCCACGTTTGCCCTTTGCTCAGTTTGTTTTGGATACACCGCTCGCTCCGCGTCGTCAAATCATGTCGCATAGCATCGCATCTTGTCATTACTTCCTGTTCTTGGTTCGTTTCAAAGTATTTGGTCCGTGTTGCGTTCATATATCATTCGAACCGCACCAGAGTTCGTTTGGAAGTGGACCGAGACCCATCTTTTCAGCGGTCTCGTTCCGCTTGTTTGGTGCGCACCAGGGTTCGGATGGCAGCGTTCACACTTACTCAAACAAACCGCACTAACAGAGCAATCGCACCAGGGTTCATTTTAATCGAATGACAAGTGTGAACGCACCCTAAATACATTTAGTATAAATGCACAAACTCTATAGCTTAATCTCAAAAATACTGTAATTACCTATATTCCATTACTCCTTAAATACATTTAATACATGTCTACATTAATAATATAATCAAATTCAATATGAATATCCCACATTTCTGCCAAAATACCATGGTGCAGTTGGTGTTACTACAGTAAATCCATGGTAAATGATGGCAATTTGTAGATTGAAAAGCTCCTGACTATCATTGTGCACAGTGTTTCTGCTGTTTGTCAGCGCTGTTTCATCTGGCTTTAATCTAGGTTAAAGGGGTCATATGATGCTTTTTTAAAGATCATTATTTTGTGTATTTGGTGTAACAGAATATGTTGACATGATTTAATGTTCAAAAAACACATTATTTTTCAAATACTGTACATTATTGTAGGTCCTATATGCTAGTTTTACCAGCCCAAAAGGGGAACAGAGTCGCGTGACAGACACTGTGATGAAGCTGGTATGTGTTTGCTGTGTTTGCAGTACGGTTAAGACAGCTGACTCCACTGTGAGTGACCCTGTCTG